ATAATTTAAATAAAAAATCTCAGTTTGAAAAAATATATCTGTTTAAGTCTCACAACGAGTCTTCTACTCCAGACCACATTACTTCCCAGTGTGTTATAGGGGAGGGTTTGGGTGGTCCAAGGGGGTTGGTGGTGGGGGGGGGGGTATGTCGGGAAGCCCAGTCTCTGTCAGCATTCTCTAAGCTTGTTACTATGGGGTTCAACCTCTTTTAGAGTATTTATATCGAAAAATTCACTCTCACACATCGAATTCCTCCTTTTTGCCACTTTGATAATCACCTACTCTCATAAAATATCTTAAATGAAGGATTAAATCATCCAAATGGTAGGTTGAACAGTTAAAAATAATTGTAGCCATGAAATAAATTTAGACCCTGTTGACGTTTCCAAGTCTTTCATTTAACAATTTCTCCTTATTGCTGTATGAAAATCGCCTTGTCTTACTCAGAAAATATCCTAAATGACTAATGCAAAAAGGTTTGAATGGTTCATTAATGATTGTAGCCATGAAATAAAATTTTGAACCTGTTGTCTTTCATTTGAAAGTTTCTTCCTTATTGTTGTATGGAAATCGCCTTTACGTATTCAGAGAATGTCCTAAATGTTTTAATATTGTAAAATCATATTAGCTATGAAATAAATTTGTTTGAGAACCTGTGACCTCTAAAACTATTTTATTTAGTCAGCATATTAATTACACCTTGTAAAAAATATAATTAAAATATAATTGGAGCAATTATTCGTTTAAACTATAACTCGTTTCATCTAGGTTCCTCAATTGCAAAATGCAATAGTTTCAAAGCTATAACAATAGTACAATAATGTTCGCTGCTTCTCTATAACCAACATAAAGTATCATCTGACCTACAAACGACGAATTGACTGGAAAATCCTTAATACGTGTTTTTGCCCTGTTGTTACACTTCAGTAGAGATATAAGTGATGCAATGAATATATCTTATATAAAACTACGTTATATTGGTTACTGATCTCTTTGTATGATGTACTATTATGGTCTTTAGTCTTTTAGTATATTTTGCAATGTATGCTTGAAAATTCATTTATACTGTTGAAATTATACTGTTTCATTGATGTCTGTTTCATTGTGTTATTAATACTGTTGATAATTTTTGAAATGATTGTGTACTATATTTTGAAAGCAGACTAGATATAAACTATTTTTGTAATGAACTGTTACACCCATGCTTTGCAATGGTAAGAGGGCACGGCAGAGAATAATGCTTTTATTTTGACATGCTGTTTGAAATGGCTATACATATATTATTAATTTCAGGAGCAAACCTTATTTTTCATTGGTCCCTCTTTTTTTTTGACTAAACAAATAATAATAATTCTTTTCCTACAGTTACCTAACAATGTACATGTTCTCTCACTGATTTGAGAAAGCAAAGTGGCCAATTCACTCATCAGTGAGACAATGTTAACATTGTCTCACTCTAATTACTTTGTCTCACTCACTCCAGATTTGCAACGTGAAGGCACGAAATAGTGAGCGCGTAACATGCAGACAAGGTCGTATGCGCGCGAAATACGTTGGCACCACTGGCTGTAAATCAGCTGGTCAGCTATTATACTGTCGTATCATTAAATGTAGTATTAAAAGTTTAAAAATATGTCACGTTTATTTACCAATTTATTTGTTTTATGGCAACTGTAGGAAAAATATAATGTGCAACTCGGGTGCAAAGTGCAATTGCCTCACTCGAGAAACCATTCCTCACTCGCCTACGGCTCGTGAGTAAGTATTTCTCTCGAGTGAGTCAATTGCTCCCTTTGCTCACTAGTTGTACAAATAACTATTGTCCCTTACTAAATAATTCATACATTTCCACAATGTAAATAAAACACCCCAAAAAACCCTTTCAAGTAAATAAACAAAAAGCTGTTAATTGCATTGACCAGCTGGAGCATATAAGGCGCAGTCTTAGGAAATCAGCCTGTGGGGTGGATAAGCTGTTAAATTAAAATTCACACTTGAAATCGCAAGAAGAAAAGTTGGTTAGCATCACTGGATCTATAGAAGTGAGGTTAAGGAATAAATCAAACGCTAACAGAACGAAATCCTAAAGGAAATGGCCTTTACCTCCTACTCCTTCTAGATCATAAGCTTTACAATGGCATCTCAATCATAAAAAATTAGTAGTACGGATGAAAAAGGCCTGTTATAGTAGTATGTTTTCTGTGCTGTTACAGAGTAAATACTATAAGTATAGAGATAGATAGTACAGGTTTTTGGATCTCCTTTTTGCGCTAGATTAGTTCTAGTCTCGGCCATTTGCGGTGACTAGGCACTCGAAATGTAATAACTGGAACTGTTGGTGAATGTATCTACCCAATTACCACAACACTTACTGTGATTGAGGTGATTGTTTTGGCCAAAACAGGCTAGAAACAATAGTGTACAATGTTTCTCAATGTAGCTTGTCATCACACCGGACATAAATAAACATTTTTTAGACATTTTTTAGAAATTTAGTAGACATTTTGTATTTTCCAAACATGATCATTTTGGTTGAGAGATTTAATCCACGTTATGATAATACAAGGTGTTGCACGGAGCAAACGAGGGTCGTAGCATTGTCGCTATAGCTACTCAGACACATTGACCCTGTAGAATATTGATTTGAACAATATTCGTGAATTTATTACCAACGGGTGTGTGACTTAGTGCGCTATAACTTATATAAATAATTATAAGGCGTTGTTTATAGGTTTGGTGGGAACATATTTGGATATGTAGACAATCTTATATTTAGGGTTGATGATTTTAAATATTTACTAGTAACATGAAGTATGCATGTGGTAAATGTATGTAGCCTTAAAAATAGCGAATTGATAGACGTGGTGTTTACACTTTATCGTTGTACTTTGGTTCACTCTAATTTGAAAATGTCATATTTGAGGTTACTGATAAAGATGTTAAAATTTGTTTAAAAGAAGTGGATAAATAATTGGCTTCATGGATCATTAAAAAAGTCTTGTTTAATCTATCGGGATATATGACTATTTGTCCATTTTCCATTGCCATTGTTGCGTATTCAAATTCATTTTACCAGCGAGCAGCTGAAAATTGATATAAAATAGCTTCCTGAAATTGATGTTGCGTCAGAACGAACGTACAGTTCCATATTTAAATAAATTGGGGAACATAAGGGTAAGGGATGTTTATTATATATAATTTTGAAACTTATGTTGCATTATAACACGGAAATTTAAACCGTTCCGGTATGAAAAGCTCAAAATCTCTCAAACCAATTATCAACATAGAGTTTATGTCCAAAACAAAGTTTAAAAAGGCTATGCATGTTTTAAATAGACAACATATAAATTGAAATGTTACATCATGAAATTAAGGGTAGATTTTTACATTGCAAGCCGGTGAGTCGGAACATGTTCATGGCAGGCACAGAGTTACACGGTAACTTGCGTTTACGTCACGCATTATTAAGTCTGCAGAAGGAGCGATATCTTTTACGTTTTTTAAGATTTTGCACGCGAATGCGATATCATTCTAAGAGTAATAGTTGCGTTAGAGAGAACGTACAGTTTTTACATATTTCAAATAAATTTGGGATAGTTAGGTATTTAAAATACGTTTCTAAAGTTCGCGTTTTAGACTACTGTTCTGTGTGTGAAACTATGATCGTCTTGCATAGGATGTCTTTAAATTTTGCCATTTTACTTTAACCCTAGAATACCCTTAGCAATAACATATTGCATTTAAATAAGGGTTTAAAATATTATGTTTATGTACAAAATTATGACGTAAATTCTAGTGAAATTATTAGAATACAAGTTATGGTCCTATATAGCAAATAGGGATGGCGAAATTGCTTTGAAATACTTAAAACATATTATAAAAACTCTTTCATTTTAATAAAAATGATTCATATATAAATCCCAAAGTACCCATGGTCCCAAGAACTTGTGAGAAAACTACAAGTCACAACCCCATAAACCATATACTTAAAATGTTTGTCATCGTCATGACAAACAATTCCGTGAATTTGAAGGTTTCTCGTCAGAAACCTTGCGCTAAACCATCCATTATTTCATAAACTGCCTTTGTAATTCCTTTATAAAGGGAACTTTCCATACACCTAATGTTAAAATACCTCTTAATTTATCACTTTATTAAAATCATGTGATTATTTCTTTGTACTACTGTATTATGTTTTGTTTATTTCAGCTTAACTTAACCAATTAAAAGTTTTATTATTACTTGTGAAGTCAAACGGGATAAAGCCCGTGGGTAACAGCTAGTTACTATAACAGTGAATCAAAGAAAACAGTAATTAAAAAAGTTTAAAAAAATGGCATTTGACAATTTAATTAAATAAAATAATCATATGCACATAGTCCATTTATTTGCAACAGTAATATTGTATAAAAAAAATGTAATGTATATGAGAGTAATACTTTGTATTATCTTATTACTGGGTCAGAGCACAAGACTTTAGTCCAAGGGGTCCCGGGTTCAAATCACCAAATCAGCAATAGATTTTATCTAAGTGATAATGCCGCAACCACTATGTCTAGCCTAAATTAATGTGATAAACCATCTCGGGCTCGCGTCTAGCGTCCTAGGAGAAAAATATCTTGGAGCAAGCTTAACATAAAATACAGTGTATATAAATTCGGAATTTACTTTTTAAAATATTGGAAATGCTCCCCTTGACCTTCATTATGTTCAGGGTTGTGTATTTTATTAATAAAGATTAGAGATATTGATTTTAACAGGTTGTAAAAAAATCCCCTGAAATGTTTTGTACAGAGAGTAGAGTTGTTGAAAAACTACCATGTAATGATTAGTCAACTAATTATAAACAAAGCTAATCTTATCTAACTGAAATATTATAAAACTATCTGTTGCTAGCGTTTAGTGTTTGTTCCGTCCGTAGAGTTAAATACAACAAAAGTGGTGTTGGTAAAATACTAGTTTTAATTCAGTTAATTTTATATTTTTTATTTTTTATAATGTGATGTTTATACATGCTAGGAATTTACTTTTCTGTCTTCCTTAAAAACCAATATGGATGAGGTGAGGGCTCAACTTTTCGTAGCAAACAAGTTTAAAATTGTTGTTCTTAGATTAATTTATGCAAAATTTTCCAACATTTTAAATCAACCATAATTCGCATTTTAAGGTCAAACAAAGTATAACTCACAACAAAATTACCACTAAACGTCTGCTTGTCTTTAGTACATTTTTAAACAAATATGGTAAATAGTAATTTTACTTATAACAAAAAACTTCTATTAGAAACGTTTCATATGTCTCTCCAAACCTTCAGCATGGTAACACCTTTTTCAGAATCTAATTCCTCCTTTTTTGGAATAAGATACTTCATTGGAGACCATGAAAGTTGTTCCTGATAAAGAGGTCATAAATACATAAGTTAAGGATTGACTACTGTAGTCATCCAATGTCATTGTCATATGGCAGGTATTTTAAATCCGTCAATCAACATAATTTTCATTTTGTGTTATGTTTATATGTGTTATATTTTGATGACTTATATGTTTATGTTTATGATTATATACGTAATACTAACAAAATATTTATGTTCCTAGTTTGGTGAAGATATAAAGCCTAGTCCGTTAAGCCAACCACTCGACCTAGCTATTGTATCCCGCCAGTTCTGGGATGCTTCAGAACCGACCGCCAGACCGTCCGAACTCATCCATCCGGTGAAGCATGTCTGGTACATATACAACATAGGGGTTCCTTTCTGCAAAACCAAAGCAAACTGCAAAAAAGTAGTGAAACTGCTTCAAGAAAGATGCATGACCGTCATGAAAATGACTGATATACCCTTTAAGTAAGTACTTGTTAATTACTTTATAGGTTAGTTCTAAAGTAAACCATTGGTAATGATCTATGTTTATCACTCAGTATTCGGTAAGGGGGTTTTTTTTATTCTAGGAAGAAAATATGCAAAATAGAATTGACTATAGTCTGTGTAATGGAACCTGTCTCCTGTCCCGTCTATTTAGGGAATGGCAAGTTGAATGATTTAAAGTTGAAGAATGTGATGGCCCATAAATACTAGGCCTACTTTTCCTAATGTTCGGTAATAGCCAGTTAGTACTGACTAAACTAAACTCAACTTATATAATGTTTTGTATGATCTAGTTAATCTAGTTAAATCAACAGAGACGTATAACATTATTTTACTGGATATACATAAATATACTATTTTTATTTTGTAAACACACTTCACTCGTCTTCAGTTTTTGAAAACCGTATCAAATTAACCTAAAATGTTGTAAAATATTTCGAAGGAACATGAAATGTCGGAGAAACATTAAGAATACTTCTTTATGCCAAAACTTTACGAATCTACATGCAAAATATTTTTATATAATTTGTGTTATAGGCAAAGTTTTCACTAAACCAATTTTTTATTCAACATTGTAAGCTACATAACTTGTTCCTAAATAGTATTTTTTTCAGTTTCCTAGTAGGTGGGGACGGAAGAGTCTACGAAGGTAGGGGGTGGTTTTATCAACCACCGGGCTTCAAACGTTTTCCTGACGAAGGATGTGACAGAATAGACATTGCATACATAAACAGTGATACGAGTAAGTTTTATTATATCTTTCAAATTAAAACTATTTCTAATTGAGGTACACGACACTCTAAGTCAAATAGAAAAGTCTGATCATCAAGATATGTTCAGTACCATTTCAAATTCAACTCCCTGATTAAAATTTTAAAATTTTGAGAATGTTTCTCAATTTGTAATTGAATTTAAATGAAAAATATGTAATATATTTTATTGAAGTGTAATATGTTCAGAGTGATTAGTTTTCCATATATAACCTGTAATAGTAATACCCCAAAATACCTGCAGCATAAATGAACTTCCATTTTTCTAAAATGTTTTTCATTAATACAGTATATTATCCTTAAAAGAAGTACACTTGCCAATGCTTGTAAAAATAAATCCATAAACAAGAAATCTTCCCTGATTTACTTATTCTCCATAAATAACACAAAAAATTTTAATTTAGCTTAAAGTTTTTTAACCAAACCAATAAGTGTACAACAACACTCAAATGTAATGAATCATTTGCTTTTTTTTGGCTGCACAAAATGGTGGTGCATCAATTTTATTGTTTGGATTAAAAATAACAATGCTACGTTGAATTAATATAAGGACTTAATTAAAGAAAAAACTCAATTCACTTACGAAATATGTTCTTTGGGCTAAGCCCAGAAGATCGCGGTGCACAGATACCGAATCTCTTTACACGGTGTCCTTAAAAAAAAAAAAAAAAAAAACTCAAAGCATACTTAACACCCCTAAAGTAACTAAGAGTATGTTCTTTGAATTGTCCATGGAGCTTTAAATCTTATGAGGGATTTTATTAAATTAAATCCAACCTTTGTAGTATTTCATTCCTAATATTTTTTATCTTTATAACTTTTTCAGAGAAACAAGTTAGCTACCAGATGATGAAATCTACCTTGGATTTAATAACCTTAGGATTGAACCAGGGTTACATTGACTCAGAATACCAGTCTAAAGAATGGAACAGAATTGGAGAACCTATTGAAGATGATCCTAACAAACCATTCGGGTAGAGGTTTCAAATATAATTCCCATATATGGGATTGTATGTATATATTAAAATGCTGGAGGAATCCATTTATATAATAATAGTTTTATACAAAAATAACAAATGTTAACATGTAAATTTTGATTGACACTAGTTTTACATATAAAAAAATAGTGATAGTGACTATGAGAAATAATTCAAGACAATAATACTTAAAACAATTAACTAGTTGCAATTTAATACAACAGCCTTGTATAATACAACTGTATATTACTTTTACCGAAGGTATTATATTTTATGTAATGTGGTCTCAAGAAAAGAGTCAATTTTTTTTTCTTAACCACCAATAATTTGTTTGGCATTACATTTATCTTTAAATGAAGGTATATTTGTGAGCAATAATTATCATTTGTTTATAAAGCTTTATGAATAGGGAAGTTGTTTTTCTATAAGTAGGCAACGCAAGTAGAACTACAGCTTTAACAAATAAGCTAGAATATATTATTCTGCATGCTTATACTTGGTCTAATTGGGTCTGTTATTTATTTTTCATTTTGATAGTGAAGTAGACGTCCATTCAATAAAGAAAAGCCATTGGTTTTTACTTTTTAAATATTAATGTATTATTTCTACTATTTATCTTAATATATTAGTTTTTCATACTATGTTAGATATTAAGGAAATTTTACATATAAGCCCCCCCAAAAGTAATCATTTCGAATTAAAATAGTTAAAAAGCGCAATAAAATCATTGTAAATTAATTTAACGAAATTTTACATCAGAATGCTACGTTAGTGGAACTGTTTTATATTTTTTGTTCGTAATTGCCTAATACTCCTAAATTGGGAATTGAATATATAATTCAGGATTTATAATCTTGTTCCATAGTCAAAGGTAGAAAAAATTGACGATTCCATTGTAAGTTTTAACAAATAATATGTTTTAACGTTAGTTTTTTCTTTTGCAAACTTCATTAAAGTTAAACACATTTTGTTTATTTTGACTTTACGTCAATCAGAGAAAATTGAAATGTTTCACATATTTTATGAAACCCAGAGTAAAATTTCATTCTATTGCACAGCATGGAGAAAATTATAATTATTGTTTAATTAACTCCATTAAAAGTTATTTCACATTTGTATTACATACGTCATATGATACACGTATTTGGGGGAGCGAGCTGTTCTAATGGTAGAGCGTGAAACTTCAATCCCCAAGTAATGTGAAAAACAATTCCAGGCTAGAACCTAGAGAGAAAAATACTGAAGTGTTAACCATTTAAAAAGCATAATTATGTTTACTAGAATTTCCACGGTATAAACTTATTATCACATCATTCACAACTTCTTTGGAGCGCGAGTAACAAATCCGACAAATGGATTTCGTATTTCTCAATCAATTGGAAACGCTTTCATTGCATTGTGCGCTCCATCAAATTAAATGTCCGTAGTAAATATGTACCTTTAAATACTACATACTTATTAATTGTATAAAAAAACTGTTAACATATTTTTATGTGTCCTTTAAGTTATCTAAATTAGGCTTAATAACTGCATAACTTTATAATTTTAGTCTTTTTCTAGTGGTTAAGGTACGGAATATTTGTTCAGACGATATCAAATATAATAAATATATTATTCACTTTAAAAAATTTGAGTGGAGGCTCACATTCAGATCAACAGACCTAGCAAAAATTAAAACAATAATATTTCTTAATTAAATTATAAAACTATAAAAATAAGATAAACATTTTGTGTGAACTTTGATAAAAACGTGGAAATCATAAGTTAAAGTTCAAGGTTATGTTTATTATGCAGTAAATACGTACTGCAAGCTAAAGTACAGAAAACTGGCTTATTCATATTTATGTTCACATTTGTATTGTTTAAAAAATATAAACAGCTGATTTCAATAGTGGATCAAATTGAAAGCTAACACTAGCGCGTGTAGTAGAAAAATAAAGAACTTATTGAGAGCAAGGGAAATCGATAGCCATCGACAAAATGGAATATCTGGTTCCTAGAACTTTTGGAAGTCTGTATATAAAATAAATAAAGTAGCCACATAACTGTTTAAACAGGACAAATTTCAACGTTTTGACTTAAAATCTTTGTTTCAATTCCTCCTAACACTTAACATCCCTGATCAATATAGAAATGAAATGTTAAAAGATATAAAACCTAGTGAAAACTCATACCAAAAATCTTTTACAGCTGTTGATTTTTTTACATAAACAAAGCCACAATACAAGTCAAACATTATTTACGATGTTTTCCTCTGACTATGAATACTACACTGCGAGTTCTACTAGGCAGAGCCATTTGTTTTGATTAACACAAACTTTGACAACCGTAATTGCCTTTGCCAACTCTGAGCCATCTCTTTGCGCCAGTTACAAGGGCAAAACTGTTCCTTCACTAAGCCATAGTTAGTAATTATATTGCGGTATATTATACGTTTTAAACGTGGAATTACGTGCATAATTTATCTTGTTCATTTTAACAACATATATTCTTCTATTTGGTATCCAAGAAGAGTTGGATGACCAGTATGTTAGCCTTGGATTAACCCAGGTCCAGTAGTGCTGGACTTTGGTCCCCAAGGTACCTGGTTCAAATCCTGGTAATCGTTTATTTATGCTATGCATTAAAGACCCTTTGTGCCTACCCTGAATTAAATAAGTATGGTTCCGGGCTGGATAAAACAGTCGACATAAACATTTACGTTTTAGAGCATTTTCCATATAAACAGAAAGTATTTGAATACTTATCGGGAGCCTGGTATGATGACTTCACAACCTATGGGGCAGAATACTAAACATTCGAGGTGATGATGTTATTTAAGTGCATGGAAACTGTAAAGGATTTTCAATTTAGGCTCGCATTGACATTATAACCATCTACCTATTGAGGATCGCAGACTATAAAACTATAAAGAAGGCAAATAAAACTAGTAAGATTATTCTGGTAGGTTATATTTTTTTACAAAAATATTGCAAGAAAATCCTATTGTGACTTCAAAATTTTAAGTGTAGTTAGTTCCATTAAAAGGAAAATTCATCATTTGGGTAACCTCAAGTATTTGATGCAATAATAAATCTGTAAATAAGGTTCAAGTATAAACAGGTGGGGATTCAAGTAGCTTATTGAGTGGAGTGGTGAGGCTCTTCAGCCATCTCGATAGAGTAACATCTCCCTTTGTATGGTTCATAACATTCCAATCGTTATTTGTGTAAGCTTCGTAAAGTAATCTTTAGTAAATATATATTTTTAGCTCTTTTATGACTTATATTTCAGATTCAGCATCGAAATATCTCAAATAATCAAAAGTCATTTTAAATACAAAAGTATACTGTATTAAAGATGATACGAGTATGATAACTGATGAAACTCTTACGATTAAAAATACTAGTAAAAAAGTGTTTGATAATTAATTTCGCTATGCTTATTTGACCTACTATCAATCTTAGTGTTTTCAAATGTGTTTTTCAGTTTTAAGATACATATTTCAAATATTAGTTGGGACAACTAGCAAGCTTCTTTATTGATTGCAAACGTAAGAAGATCGAGTTGAAAACGAAAAGTGAATTCAATACCCAAACAAACACTTATGGAAAAATTTCACGATTACATACTACAGCATGAAAATAATAGCAGTAGTGAGAACCAAATACACGAACTGAAATTAAATGAAATAATATTTTATTTCCCATTAATTATATACATATAAGAATATTCTTTTTTTTACTTAAATATAATACGGCAAAAATTACAATCTAGATAACAAAACAAAAATTATATACCATAAAAATAAAGCGAACAAAGGTGTAAAAAAAATACCTTCTATAACAAAGAAAAAGTCTACATAGGCAGGGCCTGTGCGTAGACTCTAATTGCGAAAAAATTAATTTAAATGGGAGGTAAAAAAATGTATAGGAAAACAAAAAACTAATTCCTATAATTATTTTTTTTTTTATTTGTCTTGCTTGAAACTGAATTTTTATTGTTATGGAATGAAATTGACGATAAAAAACTCTTTGTGCAAACTGAGATCATTTATAAAAATCTGGTGAAGATTAAAGAGGAGAGGTGGAGTGTGGTGTATTGGTCAGTCAGTGAAGGTGGTGTATCAGTGATAGTGTAGTGAAGTGTAGGGTCAACGGCCAGGTCTGCCCAACTAAATACCACATACTAAAAATAAATGTCCTTTGGAATAATTTAAAATCTATTACATTATTTTGTAGTTGATGTTAAATATTGCCTCTTAGACTTAGAGAGTTAAACGTTTTAAGGTTGTAGGAAATGAAATAAAATAATTAACAAGTAAACATTTATGTACCACCACAAAGGGGAAAACATTATTCAATTTATATTGTATTTATCAAGTTATTACCAGGATTATTTCTATAAATGAATTTGTCATGGCACTTTTGACCAATTGGTAAAGCAAAATTACTTTTTTTATCTTTCAACCCCTCTCTTGAATATTTGGAAAATCTCTTATTTTACATAATTAAAAGTCTTGAGTGTTTTTTTTAGTGCATCAGACATTAAACATTTGGAAAGTTTAATAGTGAAAAGTTAAAATTCTTATCAACCATTCGACTTTATCTTGAATATCATAGATGATGTAGGCCTATGATAGTTCATTCATATATTTTTTTGTGTGAAGCTTGTATCTGAACTAGAAAGTCACACCTCCCAATTTCTTGTTACAGCTATCAAAAAAGTAATTTTATAATATTACAAGACTGGCTGTTTAAAACTATTGCCATTTTTACATTCTATTTTTTAGTAAATCTAACCATCAGAGTTTAAACAGCCATTAGGCTTATGTTACCCTTTTCTTGTTTGAAACCCCCAAAATCCTATTTTAAATACTACTACTGTTTCAATTATTCGCCATGCTAATCAATTGTGCCTAAGCTAATATACCTACTAATGAAATCATACGCATAATTGTTTATGTGTGGTGTAACATTTGCATGAATGAATAATCAGTAATCCTCCTACTACTTCCTTCAA